TTTTTATTAAAATAAAATAATTGATTAAACTGGTTCTGGTGACTATCCAGTCAGAAGAGGATTTTTAAGGGCCAACCAGAGCCTGTAAACTTGTTTATTTCTTAAGATATAAATAATGTTGTTTATATCGTTTTTTTTTAGTGTTTTATCGATAAACGAATTTGCAAGTTTTGTTCGAGGGAGCGTTTCGTGATTCGTTATGGTAATTAGTGACAGCGAATTCCACGCAAACGCGTGACGGAACGGTAGTATTCAGCTGAATAAATTTTTACGTAACGCGAAAAATAAGAGCGATTGAATTGCAAGTTACACGCGAGTTATGAGGGGAGTAACGAAACGGAGATATATGTAACGCGTCTGCAAACACCTAGGCCGGATCTGTGAGTGTGAAAATAGCCTCGTGAAAATAACTTTCCCCTTCGAAAGTTTTAAGACAGCCAGCTGAGCGCCGCGGAATTCGCTCGCGAACGCGTCAGGAAGTACAGCAGCATTGATAATGAACTGTTTTCGCGAGTGTGCGCGGTTCCTCGCAATATATGAACATATAATCGAGATATACATCATGCAATACACGCACAATGTGCGAATATATACTCTCCGTACAGAATGATCAATTATTTTAGATTATTTCCTCCGCGCGGTTCTAAAATTCTCCTTTTGCAATCTAACTGTATATAATTACGAACATTTCATATACTCAATATCCCTATACTTTGATTTAGAAGTAGATAGTCTTCGCGAATCACATGTTACGAGAGACCGAACAAAAGACTCCTAGGAATACTCCTAATTTAACCAAATCACCATTATTAAAGAGAGATTCTGGTTTAACCAGGTCGAAAATAGGTTTTACCAATTCTTTTCAAAGAAATGAATAAAGACATCAATGTAAGGTTTTCATCGTACTATCTAGCATTATCTCAAGTACAAAAAATTATTCTTTTATTAAAAGGAAATTGACATTTCGTCATTCAAGTTTTCCGTACTGAGTTGGACGTCTCTAACTAGCGGATAACATTATAGTTCGTGTAACAATCCAAAACAAATAGAACGAGAGAATTTCAAATATTGAAATTAGATTTGCTGGAGAATAAACCCAAATTTTTTTAAAAAATGTCCAAAATTAGAGTTTTTCCCAGTACATTAAATTTATAACAAAAAAAAGAAAAAAATGATTTATAATTTTGAAATGCCGCCACATTAAATTTCGTGTTTCTACATGTAACAAACAATTCATCCTCCAGTAAATTTAATACAGTTTTTAAAATTCCCATTTATCTCAGATTATTATATCAGCTGTAATAATTTCGGTAATTAAAGGCATCCGATGACTTCGTATTCAACACAAAAAACCTGTGGATAACAAAGTTTTAACTTTTTTTTAATAAAAGAATTAATTTTTTTGTATTTAGAGTAATGATAAATATTATGATCCAAATTTTATATTGATATTTCTATTCATTTTTTTTTAATTCGTAAGAATCTCCTATTTTTTGGGTCCAAACCAAAATCTTTGCTCAATTACTAGCTTTTGTAATCAGATCTTTGACTATAAATTGACCTTAGCCATAAATAAGAAGCAGAAAAACCCTTGGATATTTGTACAAAAATGTCTCAATCTTGTAAAATAGTACAAAAATGTATAATGTGAAGCGATCGCGCATAAGCTCTGCTCAGCGACAACACTCCCGTCACAACATCGTGTCACTAGATCGTCATGCCAGAGCCAAGACGATCAGCTGAGCACGCCGCGGAAAATGCCGCAGCATTGATAATGAACCGAGTATCTAGGCACGTGCTTCTACTCGCTCTTCAAGGAGATGAATCGATGCCTCAAGAAGTAATAACACCGTGTTCTACGGAGTCGGTGCGAACGAGCCGCTCATCCATTCGCCTGGTCTTTCCATTGATGACGCCGAGAGTGAACTCGAGTACGCCTCTATCCGACGCAATGAAAGTGAGCGAGTGCGGTTTCCTCCGTGAAACCGGCTCTACGATAGCGACGTAAATCCCGGCACGGAATAAGAGATGCGACGGTGCCACATGCGCCGCTATTTATTGCTACGGTGCTTCGCGATAATTTCGCTGAAATTTGAAAGCAGATTATGCCTCTCGCGAAAGTCGCCCGCTTCCGCGGGAGATCGGAGTCAAATATCCCGTCTAATCTAATCTGTCTAATCTATCGCCTTATTTTAATTATATAGGCGAGGATGCAGGTGATATATACGCCTAATATATCGGCGTATCTACTTGCGTAATTACACTTCACCGCTATTGTCCGCAGATCGTCCGAGATTCGGGATTAGTTTCAGACATGGCCCCAATTTATCGGCAAGCCGATCGTAAGCCGATATTTCTGTCTTCCTTATTGCAAATTCGACAACCTGACAGACACGTCGAATCGATGACTATACCGATTACCGCTAAGTGCTCTTCCGTTCATAATACACAACGAGGGAAAGCGCCGTCTCCTGGACTTTACATAGATCGCGCAAATGCTCCGTAAGAAGTAGGCACATCAATTACCAGCTCGAGACTCTCCCGAATTAATATACATCGTTCTCTCGCGCGGCACCTGAGCCGTCAGCCACTCCGCGCATGGTCTCTCCGTCACTTTCTTCTTCTCGCCAGCATGTGCATGCACTGCTCCTCGTACTTACGATCCGGCCGATTAACAGCACAACGTCGTTCCTGTCGATATTACTGTCAGCATTCGTTGCGTTGTGAAATCAGCGATATTGTTACTGGAAATTGTAGCGTTTCTAATTGATTCGGTCGCAGGAAGATGAAACTCTTGAGTAGACTCTCAAGATTCTTCTTCGTCGACCTCTTATATCGACGATTCAACGCAAATAGATCGAAAAATGTTCTTCGAATTATCGCCACAATTAACAATGTGATAAATGAAGGAAAATAATTTTTATTCCGATATACAAGTTTTTAGTTAATATTTAATAATTGCATAACAAGAATTATTTCGATTAAATAATTTATTAAACATTCTCTTTGACATGATCATATATTTTGTGTAATTTTTAAAAACTATTATAATGTGTTTTCAATAACTTCAAATTTAAATATGACACAATGAAAGTAATATAAATAAACATAAATATAAATTAAATATAAAAAGATAATATAAATATAAATAAATATAATATAAATATAAAATAAATATAAAAAATATATATAATAGATATAAATAAAAATAAAGTAAAATTTATTACGTGAATAGACGAAATCAATATTACAATCTTTGAGTGTATATAACTTCGATATCGCTAAATCTTTGCAAATTGGTTTTGCAAATAAGCAATTTAAAAGTCGCAAAACATAATTTCAAAATATAACAATGAGGTGACGTGAGAATTTTTTTATATTCTTGTTAAGGATCACAAATAAAGAATAAAATTGTTCCTATACAATACAATAACATATACAATAAATAAAGAAAATGATCTTATTATCTGTCATTTTAAAAGTTGCAACGTACTTTTTCATTTTACAGACTCAGAATGTTTTTTTCTTTATCACGGAATTATTATGGCTTAAAATGCAAGAACAGCTATCACATTAAGCTATCACTCTGCATGAAGACATTATGTATTGCTTCAATAATGCTTCTAGATTATTTCATGTTATAAATGTAAACAGATTGTGTCGATGTAAACGCCAATTGTACAGAATAAATATAAAGTGGTAATTAACAGTCGATACGAATATAGCAAAATTGAATGATTTCCTTTTAGATCGGCACTTTTTCATACTATGCAATGGATGCAACATTTGCAACCTTGTAATAAATGCGGCAGAGAGAACCGCATTCTTCTAATTTCTATGTAAAATCTTTGTAAATTACAAGATCTCTGAGATCCTATCGAAAAGATTAACGAACGCTACGGCACAATTCTTCAGCAGTGACCGGTGCTGTATTTCGATTAATATCGAGATACGCATCGTTATCGTATATAAACAATCGTTAAAGCTTGACGTCGAAGTACCGAGGAGAAGGCGTTAAATGGCTTCCACGGAGCGTGTATCAGTTCCGCGAGTGTATCTCGAATATATCCACCCACGTGTACAAATTTTTCTCACGACCCTGCTCGATCTAGCCTATCACTCGATCTAAACTTTCGTGCCGACGCAGCGAAGCCACGCCGTGCGTTCGCACACAACATGTTATCTGCACGCACTCCGTTGTAATTAGACAACAATGTAGCTCTTCGCAAATTGTCAGTGGTAGAGAACTCGTTGGCTCATGAAGCATGAAGAAGCATGAAGAATATTGTTCGACCGATCGCAGAAAAACGGATACGGCTGATTGCATGGAGCGCTCCGCGGCTCCAACCTTCAGCTACTCTCTGAGTTCAATCGCGAAATATCTTCAAGCAAGCCGTAAGGGTGTCATTATGTCCGCGGGCTCATGGTAGATACGCACGCATAACGATAGAGGATACTATAGCACACGGAAGAAATTCTCGGCACGTCATAACATATCGGATCGCTTGAACCTGGTAATTAGCCGACACGCTAATTATCACTGCCAAATACCTCGAGGAAATACCGTTATCCTGTGCCGGCCGCTGTTCCGCAGCGCGCACTACTCGATACGCGCTGACAATCTAATTTGACACGGGTCACAACGCGGAGCTGCACGTTGTCTGGTGCACGCGTGGACGCGGTTCTCACGACCCTGCTCGATCCGACCGGTGGTGCACCTTTCGGCGGCCTGTGGGTGTCTCCTCTCTCGTGTCTTTCTACGCGACCACGAGAATCGATGCACAAGCGGCTCCTCCGCGAGGAATTCGGCAATGGCAATTGTGGAGAGCGCCAATTCGTTGACGGCCACATCGGTACCCCGGGGCCCCCAGCCGGAATCTAATTCGCGGGTGTCGCGGGTGTCGAAGAGGACACGTAGCCGCTATCCGACGAGACCCCCACTATAGGCAAAAGCCTTCGTATAGGTTATAAAGGACCGAGCACGGTACTATACGGCTGCACTCTCTCAGTGAAACTCTCGGAGGACCGTTCCCCGGCAAGTCGCACCTCCCCCCCAACGTCATCGCGACGCGTGCACCATGAGGATTATATTGCTGGTACGTGCTGAATTGTTTATTCGGTTGTCTATGTTAATCGTGTCAAGCTTGCCGGATACGGGCTCCTCTCCTCTTGGCCGATTCGTACACTTTACCTCCGGAGAACGGAAGCGATTTCTCGGACGTCTGAACTCGTTACACTTCTGTGCTTCATGTTTCTCTTTCTCTTTATTTATTGTGAAGTGACTCGATGTCGTACAAGCAAAACGCCGAGCTCGAAAGACTGATGGTCCGAATTGATCGAACGTCACCGTATTTCAAACATATGTCACTTTGTTTCTCAAACGTGTGTTTCAAAGAATACACTTAAGAAGTTTTTCAAGGTAAAGTAAAAGTACCTATACGTAAAGTCCGAATACGTAACTAATTCAGAACATTCTTAATGTTTTTGTTTTCAAATACGAATGTGTTTGAACTGTCAATATAGAATATACATATTCAATATACATATAATATATATATATATATAAAATATATATATAATATATATATATATATATATATATATATATATATATATATATATATATATATTATATATACATATATATTTTTTATGTTGAAAGTTTACATATTCGTATTCAAAGACCAAAACAATGTCCAGAATTAGATACATGTTAGGAATTAGGGACTCTACCTTAATAGATATGTGTATGTGTATGAATCGTCCAAAACTTACAAAGTAGACGTTTACTATAAATACCTATAAAACTTTATTTGCTTCTGCTGCTGTATTTATCTTTCAATTTCTTTTCTCAGAATTGTATTTAGGTCTTATATTACCACGTATGTCCTGTGGATTTCTTGTCGCGAGATGAAATCGGTGACTGTGTTGACAGTAACTGTGAAAGAAATCAGCGTTAACTTCGCGCTACGATACGTTCGTGATGTTTTATTATGGACGTCGGACGTCCATAGAAAGCGCCCATACCTTATACGTCGAGACGCTAATAGTGAATCCGCGAGCTATCAAAAACGCCTCATTATTCCGTCGCGGTGACCCACATGAAATTAAGCGTCGTTAATGCAGGAAAGTCAGAAGCCCGATAATATCTTCGTGGTTCATTGTTGCAACTCGCGCGAGCGCGCGCGCGTGTGAAGCCACTTATAATTCAAAGACGGCGCATGATTAACGGCGACTGAAAGTGAATTGTGTCCGCCCACATAACGGTGTTCTAAATATGGCCACGAGAATTTTCGCCGGGGCACCCTTTTGTCGTCTACTTCGTGCGAAAGGGGCGTCGCTCGCGCGAGGAAAGTGCTGTACGCCGAACTGCGACGGTTTTCCCGCGAATGGTCGCGAATTAATTGTGCACGGCGGAGAGCTGGTTGTTGACATCGTGCGTTACCTTAATGAACCCGCTGCCGGGCTGTGTTGGGCAACGTGGGCTTTTGTTGTTGAATGGGAAACGGATTCGCACCTCTCGCGCACCTCTCGAGACCCACCGCGGGGAGGCGGTGGCCGCAACTGCAATCTCGTTAAAGCTCGGCCTTTTTTTTCGCGAGACATCGTGGCGACTTGCATTTTTCGAGCGCGCTCATTATGCTCTCTTGATTGATAGTGAAAGTCCTATTCCGGTGCATTGTTATGATTGCTGAGCGTGTGCTAGTCGCTCAAGTCGCGCGATTTCCGCCCGCTCGCTCGGGCCAGAGAGGCACGACACCCATTCTTGCTCTGACCGTAAAATTCTCGTGATTACGACTGCTGTGGTGGTGATTGAAACAGCATAACTAATGCCGCTCACGCTGGTTACGTACTCGCTCAAAAACGCATAATCATCAATTATCAACGTGTTCTTACGCCCATAAGCAGTCTGGCACATGTCGAGTTCTTGCGCGAGAACGTTCAATAATCGCCACGAGATTTCATTCACGCTGCACTCGCGCTGACGTGCGCGAGCGTAATTCGCGAATCGTGCGAAGAAACGCGTAAATCCCATTCGCGACTATCAGCCAAGGCGATTTCTCCGATTCCCTTTCCCGCGGTCTGCCAATGACGACAATTAAACGCTTATTAATAATTCACGAGCGATCTCATCGTGCAGTGTCGGTTCTCGCTCCTTCCTGCGACCGATTGATATTTCCTGTGAGAGAGTTGATCTTCTTCTTCTTCTACGCGGGAGAGCGGAATGCGCGAGAGTAAGTCCGGACTTACAATAGGTGTAGCAAGCCTTTAATCTTCAAGAGAATTCACCGTAGAATTCACATCTTGGCAGAAAAGCAGAAAATAGAAAGGCAAAAGCCAATTAGGACTCGTGCTGCAGTAGAAAAGCAGAAACTGTCGACTATCACCTGATCGCCAGCGCGAGTTCTGATTGGCTTTTGCCTCTCTACTTTCTGCTTTCTTACTAAGAGTGTGAGTTCACCCTTACACTCTAAACCCGAAATTGTGGCGTAATTTTCAAACGTTCTCTACTGCCGCCTGAAGTCATAATCCCCAAGCTTTAAACGAGTTGGTCAGATTCCAATTGTTCAAACAGTGCAAGAAACGCTTTTACACAGAAATTATAGTCCTTAAAGAATAAGGCTAAAGGCTTACTATACTTATTATAGATCCAGACTAAATCGAGCGAGACAATGCACACGCAGGTGCTGCCGATTTACGGTAACGGCCAAACTGGTAACGGGAGATAACTCGAGACGTGCGTGCGTGCATGCGTACGTGCGTGCGTGCGCGCCATCGGAGCGCCGTGAAGTCGATACGCCATGAAATCGACACGATCGAACGATCGGCAATTTAAGTGCCCCCGGAGCAGTTCGATTCGTGGCACTTTCACCGATCACAAATACGGAACGTTTCATTTCGCGGAACTCTCCGCGGAGAAGGACTTTTCGCGGAGCTCCTCGCGATGACGACGCGGCGCGATGATTCCTTGCCCGGGAATCGTTGAAATCACCGGTGCTGTATAGCGGGAAGAGACTCCCCTCGCGTTTCTTTCCGCGGGATTCAAACTCACGCGCGAGAGCCCGACGATAGATCGGCAGTTGCGAGAAACCGCAAACGAAACGCCGGATTTCCAATGACGCAGCTCCTGTTGCGAAGAATCGCGCGACGCGATCGCTTTTTCCCCGATCGATCGGAGCCGCTGGAACGGCACGGACGAACGGCGATATATACGCGCGATCAGTGGCGCGAGTCGCGAAAAGAAAGACGAGCTGCTCTATCACTCGAGCGCCGTTCGTTTCCGATGATCTCGAGCGCGTCTCGTCGCCATCGGCGTGAAACCCAGGAGACCGTTCGAGACCAGACAACGGGAGAAACCGCGGTAACGCCGAATTGCGAAAGCGAGGCTAACACATAAAATAGGAGCAAATCTCTCGGCCGCTTTCTGCGGCTCTTCGGCGATAAACGATCTTCGCGGCAGGCAGGGTTCCCTCTGCGGGTTCCAGCGCGGATCCTTTGGTGCGCCTTAAAGGTGCCGGTCAAGAGCCGAGCCGATACTGCAGGTTGTTAGAGTCGCTTTTTACGGCCGTCTTTTTGCCGTCGTTGCGCAAGAGGGATTGCCGATTGTCGCGCGCGCTGCTTAATTATAACGGGCTCATCGGGCGCCCGCCAATTTACGAGCATCCGGCGCGCTCCATGACGGGAACGCCGAGAAGTCGCGCGACTCCGACGGATCCTCCGTTCGTGTTGGGCGGCAGCAGGCTTTGGAAAACGACGCAGAGTTTCCTGCACGCCGTAAGATCGTCGTAACTGCCCGGCTAATTAGCATTCTAAAGCGGGCTTTCCCGTTTCTGCACATGCACTGCGGTACAGCGGCGTTGCTCCCGGAGTCTCATTAGGCAGCCAGTCCAGAAGAAAATGTGAGAGCGAGAAGATATCGCAACACACACACATACACACACATACACATACACCAAGCTGGCAAATCCATAAATTAAGGGCATGCCGATCTTTCGAGCAGTTTCTGTCGAAACTTACCGTCGACGTGGTAGCAGTGTTATAATTATAGCTGGTATTGTGAACGTGCGTGCGCGCGCACAAACACACACACACACACACACATATGAGAACAGACGCGCATTAACTTTGCCGTGTAAGGCAGTGAAATATGCAGACTGATTTAGGAATATACTGGAGAAGCTGCACGTCAAAGAAAATGTTTGGTTGAGTCAACCAAGTGTCTGATGAAATGTGAACGGTGCAGACATTCTATTTGAAATTACGAGAATTCCGTTCAAGTTAACAAGATTTCTGGCTAGCCAGAAATTTCTGATTAACTAAAAATCTTGTTTGGTTAATCTTGTTAATTTCAACACAGAATTCTGATAATTTCTATCGGAATTTTTCGTTCATATTCTACCAGACATTTGACTAATCCAACCAAATCTTTTTTTACGTGTGTACGGCATATGCACAGCGACGACGGAGTTCAACGCCGCGCACTCATGATGGTGTCCGGCGATAAAAGTGAAACCCTCAATTACAGTGATGAGATCATTTGATTAATTTGAGGTGAAAATTTGCGCGAACGCTATCTCTTTCGCTATATCTTTTCGATATTCAAGATTGAATTTTCTTATAATTAATCTACCGATAGAAAACTTATTTAAATAAAAACGTCGAAGAAAGTCCCTCAACTTTCATTACTCATGATTCAAATCCAAAATTCGTCTCACGTGAGACATCCAGATTTTTATTCAGAGTTAGATCCAAGTTTTTCAGTTGGATATCATGATATGTGTGCGTTTAGCAGAGAAAAGCGTTCAGTGAACGCTTTGCACTCTGTTGCGCCGCCAACTGTTGTAAGATTTTCTGTTGAACGACACTGAGCGTTTTACGCTCTCCCAATATGTTTATGGAGCGGTTGACATTTTTGACAACATGCTTTTATTTCGCTCTTTACTTTTACCGCTGCGTAAACATGTTGGGAGAGCGTAAAGCGTTCAGTGTCGTTTAGCAGAATATCTTACAAAGTTGGCAACATAGCGCAAAGCGCTCACTGAGCACTTTTTTCTGCTGAACACAACTATTTATATCTCTGTGATATAATGACTGT